ATGAATGTGTATAAACACCAAAGGGAAAGGGAGTGAGTAATACTGGAAAAATGACCGTGGCCCAGGAGAAAATAGTAGTACAAATAATAGGGGCAGTGTCACCTTATTCCCTGCACTGTAGACAGTTGTAAATTCACATTTACCCAATACATCTGGAGTGTGTGCCAGTGCCAGGCCTGGGGCTAGATGCTTCAGCAACCCGCTGTGCAGCTACCTTGGCCTCCTAGGCCTATGAGGAATGGATGCTAGCACTGTCCCGTGGCTTTGGAAACCAAGGTGCAGAGGTTAGCATCTTGTTGGAGTGCTCAGAGCCCCTACTTCCACCCCTACCGGCTTCCCTCGCCTCCCCAGCTAGCAGTTCCAGGGCTGGGAGCACCCTGACTTGGCAGGCTGACCTGGACTCCGTGGTAGGGCCTCCCCTCGGGCCCCTTGTTCTTTTCCCAGCATGTAGCTTCCCTTCCCAGGCCACTGGAATGGCTTTTCATCCTCTGGGTCCATCTGGAGACAGACAACAGGCCATAAGCTAACCAGGGAGTTCCATATAGAGAACTATTACCTCTGAGAAGTGAGTAACTCTAGGACAGAGGGAAGCTGTGTTGTTTTTCCCTAGGGCTGAGGGAGCGTGTCCAGTAAAGAATGAACATGGGAGGAGGTATGGTTCAGTCCACAGGACACAGAGATATGTCCACTGTTTGGCTGGGCCAGAGCCAATCTGGAGTTGCTGGCAAGCAGTAGCCCCAAGTGTGGGCAGGAGAGCAGCCATTAGCTTCCAGCAGTGATGGGTGCCGGGGGTCCAGGCACCTACAGAGGCAGGAGGCCTTGGGAGTGTGGGGACTCTGGTTTCCATGTAGAGAGGGATGCGGGAAGATTATCACCAGGCCGAGACTACAAGGTGGCAGCAGGACAGAGTTCTGGGCCCGTGGCTGGGCAGGCCCCTCTGGATGTCCTCCCCTACCAGTGACCCAGGCTGGCAGGAGAGCTGTTGCCTCCTCAGTGCCCCTCAGCACACTCCACTGACACAGCTCAGCACCCTGCACGTCATGGGAGAAACAGCTGAAGGACGCAACCTGTCTCAGAGTAGGTAGTGACAGGAGCTTCAGGACCTGAAGGGCAGTAAACTGACAACAGCTGCGCAAAGCACTCGCCGCCCACCCTGTCAGAGGAACAACCCTCTCCTTGTGCAGAGACCGCACCTTTACAGTACCCACCATCACTGCGCCCCAGGGCAGCCCCGCAGTGCTGCGCATGCTGGCCTGCCTGCCTGGTACTGTGTCTTTCCCCTTTTCTCTCACCAGGCCTGGCACACAGTAAGTTCTCAAGCAGCATTTACTGCCTGGACTCACATTGCCACAGTCAGGGCCACAGCCCCTTGGTGAGAGTGAAGGGCACCACCTGGGAAGGGACAGATTCTAGTGCACCTGCCCCATCATCTTCTGCTTTTAGAAGTCCCATGACTAGAAACTGGAAACGTCAGAACATCTGAGTCTTTGATGGAATCTGTTGGAGATGCTGGTAGTTGCTGCTGTGTGAGCCACTTTATTGTTCAACCCTAAACCTTAAGAAACCAGCAGATGCCCTTTCCGAGGCCGACAGGCCTAGGTGCCCAGTAGTGTTTCCTTGAATGTCTCTCTTTTGCAGTGTAATTGATGATATGTAAGCTGAATAGAGATGTTGCTTTCTTTCCCCTTTTCAAGTTCACATTGGATTATAGCTAATCTTGCAGTGCAAGGACAGCACGCATATACCAGAGGCAGAACTCAGAAGTTTCCTGAGCATTCTCTAGCATGTCCAATCAGTTTCCCTGTGCCTTTTAACAGGAGCTGTCAGCCTGCCGTTCTACCCATCTCCCCACAAGCCCACACATTTCAGAGAACAGCTGCTGCTGTCACCTGCCTCCTTTCACACAGTTTGGACAGGGGTCCCATATGGGGGCCTTCACCCAGGTTTGTATGCATGTGCCAAACTTATTACCAGCTCCCAGGCACGATGCAGGGAGGACTCAGACCTCTAAACTGGGATATGAGGTTCATCTCCCAGCCTGGACTTCAGACTTCTCCTCACCCGCTAAGATCATTCTCACCAAGTCCCAGCAAGTCTCCTTGTCTCCTCTCTCAGTGGGCATTGCCCTGGTCCGACTTGCTCCAGAGCATAGCCCCCTCTCCCACAGGCAGGCTGCCTCTCAGTGCTTTGCAGGGCTCAGCCTGAGAAGGCGTGGCAGGTGCTGACAGCCAACAAGAATCACGCTTTCTTGCTTGATCTTCAGCGCCCCCACAGTCCGGCTCCCATGCCCCTCTCTAGCCCTGTGCCCAGCTCACCTGGCAACAGCATCTGCCCAGGCTGGGCCTTCCCCAGTCCTCACAGACCAGAGCAGCCTCCTGGGTGGGCCCAGCATCAGCCTAGGTAGGTACTTCCCATTCTGGGGTGATATCTTATGATGCTGTGAGGCTGTTACATTAGACAATACTGAGTCTCACTGAGCAATGGCCTCTTGTGTGCATTGTATTTTTCTAAGTACATCATCCTAAGTTTCCAAGCAGGGACCATGTGCTAAATTTAAATGACTTCCCTATAGTCCCCAGTAGGCACATGAGGGACACCACTCAGTGGCTGACGGGAAAGCTGAGGGCCAGCGTGGGAGACTTCTGACAATAGGGCCACAGGAGATGCCCCCACCCCTGGTGGAGTGTTGGAGAAGACAGACAAGCTGCCTCCAAGGACATGCATTCACTGAGTCATTAGCCTTCTGCCACAGGTGAGGTTTTGTGGGTAGAGTTAGCAGAGTTCTGCAAAGACATGCTGCCCGTGAATGTTTGCTCTGCGTGGATTCCAGCCTCTCTCCCCCTTTTTTCAGCTTGCCCAGCTTCCCTCTGGTTCATGCAGTTAGGTGGTGTCACGACCAGGGACTCATGTCTCCTGGCCAAGGCAGTAGCTTGTGGGATGACATCTGACAGAAGTTACTGTGGTTTGGGCGTGGGTGGCAGGAGCCCAGCAAGGACCTACAGGGCTGGGGCTGGCATCTTGTCACAACAAAGCCCTGTGAACAGCAGAGGGTGGGTCCAGCTTTGCACATGGCAGGTGACTCAAGCCTCATACTGCCCATTCTCAGGCAGCATGGCTCTCACTGAGCAGCAGGGGGTCACCAGGGTCAGGGCACCATCTGCTGTGCCACTGCAGCTCATTCAAGGTTCACTGGCACACTTTGACAGCATGGTGGCACTGCCCTCCAGAGCAGCCCCCCTGAGCCACCTCTGCCTATGGAGCCAGGGGCTTCAGGTGTGGCCCATGGCAGGCCATGGACCTGGGTACCTACAGCTCGCTCTTTCTCCTCCCCATGCTAACCTAGAGCTCATCCACAGACAGTGTTGGGGTTACTGTGATATACCCCACTTCTTCCTGCCTGGGTTGCACAATTGCACAGTGATTTGTTTACCTCCTCTTGAGAAATACTGTAGCTCTTTTTTGAGTCTCACTCTGTCACTAAGGCTGGAGTGCAGTGGTGCAACCGTGGCTCACTACAACCTTTGCCCCCTGGATTCAAGCGATTCTCCTGCCTCAGCCTTCTGAGTAGCTGGGACTATAGGTCTTTGCCACCACACCTGGCTAATTTTGTATTTTTAGTAGAGATGGGGTTTCACCATGTTGACCTCCGGACCTCAGGTGACCTGCCCACCATGGGCTCCCAAAGTGCTCGGATTACAGGTGTGAGCCACTGTGCCCGGCCCATACTATAGCTCTTACAGCAAACAATCAAACAGACTGGCCTAATAATTTTTATTTCTGCGTTTGCTAGATGGAGCTAGAATTTTATTTTTAAGGAAGGAAAGAAAAAAAAAAATGGGTTTATAAAGACTGAACGTCCCGCCAGGCACGTGTCACTTTGGGTTAGCTGAGTGCCCTGCCACCCTCAGCCAGCTGCCCATGGCTGCACATCAGACAGGTCAAGCGAGCACATTTGCTTCCCCGGGCACGGTGGCACCCTGGTGGGTGTCCACTTGTCAGCCAGTCCTCTGCAGATGGAGTTGGGGGGCAGGCCAGCCCCACCCATGGCACCCGGTGCTGCACAGGCTCTGTGGACCTGGGACCTTCTCTGCAGGCTCTGGGCTGCAGCAGCAGCTTCCATGCCACCTCTGTTCACCTCAACCTGTGCGGACCCAGCTCCAGGATTGTTGCCTGCTGCTCTCACTAAGATGCCCGCAGCCCTAGCCTTGCTCTCCAGTGAACAGGAATGAGCCCGTGTCTGCTGTGGTCCTGTGTTTACCCTGCCTTGGGTCTTCATGCCAGCCTTTCAAGAGGGATGGGAGTTATCTGTGCTTTGGGTCCCCTTACGTCCCCAGAAGGAACAAGTGGGGACAGCACCTCCCAAGCCCAGAGCCAAGGGGCCACTCTTTCCTCAGAGGAGGTCACAAAAGGTCCTAGAGCCCAGACCCTCCCCATCTCCAGGGGCTGTCATGCCAGCCCCCAGACCTCCCATACTCACTCTGAATTTCTAGCCTCTTGTCCACTGAAATGGACAATATACCGTTTTGAGAGGAGCTATTCCCACTCATTCTCAGGTGTTCAGTACAGGCCCCTGCACTGGTCCTTTGGGGTGCACTGCGACTCGCAGAGCTCTTTGTGGGACAATGCCCTCTGCATTCATTTCCTGCCTCCTGTAGGAACATCTGGATCTACCTGGGTCTGCCTTTGTCTTTGTAGGCCATCCCCCTCACGGCCTGTGACCTTGGTCTCCCACCCACTCCAGGTTCCTGTGAACTTCCAGGAACTGTCCTCTGTCTCAGGACTGTGAGGCAGATGGACACTGCCAGGTCAACCCTCCACAGTCCATAAGCAAGTATGCCTCTTGGTGACACTCCCGGAGGGCTGTGACCCGCCCCTGCCCCACGGCCCCCCACACACCCACAGGCCTCACCTGCTCCATCTTGCATCATCCAGGCTGTGGCTCAGGTTGTCTTAGTGCCTGCTGGGCTGCCCATGTCAGCCTCTCCATGCTTGCTCCGCAGGGCCTGATGCACTCCAGCGGCCCCGTGGGTCGGCACCGGCAGCTCATCCTGGTTCTGGAGGGGGAGCTCTACCTCATTCCTTTCGCCCTCCTGAAGGGAAGCTCCTCCAACGAGTACCTCTACGAGCGCTTCGGGCTCCTCGCCGTCCCTTCCGTCCGCTCCCTTAGCATGCAGTCCAAGGTAAGGCTCATACACATAGTGGGGGTGGGGGCTTGCTCTTGGGTCACGAGGCGCTGTCTATCTGGCTGGACTGGGCTGTGTTACTAAGGCATAGCTGTGATCTCCTCAAAAGTGTTGGTTTTATGATTTGCACACAGGTAGCATGACTTTAGAGGTCTGTCCAAAAATGGGGCATGGCCCTCATGACCCTGGCCATTCTTTGCTACCTTGAGAAGCCACAATTTGTGTCATTTCTAAGTTTCTTTGCTGTGACATCAGGGTCCTGAGCTGCTCTGAGGCACACAGCCAGGCTTGAGGCCTGACTGAGCACCTGAGGGGACTGGTCACCTCCCATCCACACAGTGCCCAGTGGGCACAGCAGAGCCACCCAGTTCACCTGGCCCTCGAGCTGACTGCTGGCCGGGACCCAGGCAGGGAGGGCAGACAAGCAAGAGTGGAGTTGAGTGGAAAACAGCCTGACAGGCCGATGGAACTGAAAACAAGTCAGGTGGCTTTCAGGGGACAGGTGGGGACACAGAAACACCCCAAAATCAAGAGAGTAACACTGGGCCGCCCCGAGTTATGGGTCTCACCCCGCAGCCACCCTTGGCCCTGCCCACCTGATTAGAAACTTCTGAGCCAACCTTTAATCTTCTTCCCCTTCTCCAAACTCTCAGATGCCAAAATCCTGGCTTCCCTCTGAGCCCTCCAGTCCCACAGGGCCCTACACCCGCCTGGCACTCCACTTGCAGCATCCCTGCCTGCCCGGCTGCAGGACTGTCTTTATCACAAGGGTCTGCATTGCTCCATCCTCCAACTTCCAGATGCCCTCGAGCTGCCAGTTGCTCTTAGAGCTCTCAGACCCCATCTGCCCCCAGTACCCCATGGCAGGCCAGGTGGGTGTAGTCAGATGGGCCTCTTCACAGTGGTGGAAAGTGCAGGTAGGGTTAGGAACCGAGGCTGGGCGCTGTGCATGGGTGGTCCCCACAGGGCCTGTCTTGGCAGCTTTGATGACTCGCTCATTGGCATGGCCTAAGTGGGGTTAGTTTCTGCCTCACGGTATTTGTAGATCTGAATTTTGACCATTTTTGTAGCTGGATAAGACTTTTCTCGTGAAGCAGACAATCAGTTCAAAGTGAAAGAAATTATTTTCTCTAGATTTCTCAGGTTTCCACGGCTGACTCTGAATCTCGGATAGGAAGTGAGCTTCCTTCTGGGATTCTTGACGCTGCCACCACCCAGCGGACCACGGTGCCAGCTGATAGCACTCTGGGTATCAGATGCCACCACCTTCAGAAAGCTTTTATTTTGATGACTACAGCTAGCTAGCTGTTTGTAGCTTAACCAGAGACCTGGAAGAGGCCATCTCCTCCAGGCACCTAGTGTTTCTCTTACCCAGAGTTTAAGGAATCACCAAGCAGAGGCACTAAAAAGTTATTCTGAAATACTTCATGCTTAATGTTCATACTTCATACTAAATGTTTCCAAAAAAGTATCAAAAGTCATCATAGTGGAAATTCAGACAGACGTGACTGGGCTTCTTTATGCTGATTTTCTCATTCAGTGATACTTTTTACTTTGCAGCATATAAGGCGGAAGGGAACTAGAATTTTGTTAATATATAGAGCTTCTTAAGAGGACTTCGTTTAGCCCTCTCTTCCCAGGACTGACTTGCTTGTTTGCACCATTTAAACAGAATCACTTCTCATGGCCCTGACTCACCAGGACTGGGCTTCCTCTTAGGAGCCACACAGAGAGGTCTGTGGGAATGAGGATTGTGGAGCAGGCTGGCTGTCCCGGGTTCCATGGCCTCTGTCCACTCTGTCAAGTCGGGGCCGCCTCCTGCAGTCCTCTCAGGACTCCTACCATCCAGTCCTGATGATTTTCAAGAGCTCATCATGGCAGGTGTGATTCTCAGTAAGTTAGGTACCTGTGTCAAAAAGAAGTTGAAAAATAAGTGAATGAGGTGACTGGGGAAACATGTGGATCCAGGCTTGACCAGCAAAGAGCTGGTTACCCCTGTACTTGGCTGACCACTGCTGGGCAGCCTGGCCGTTCTGACATGTGGTCTGTTTTGTCCCCTCCCCTCCTAGTCTCACTTACGGAAGAACCCGCCCACATACTCCAGCTCCACATCCATGGCGGCTGTCATCGGCAACCCCAAGCTTCCATCGGCTGTGATGGACAGGTGGCTGTGGGGGCCCATGCCATCAGCTGAGGAAGAGGCCTACATGGTGTCAGAGCTGCTGGGCTGCCAGCCCTTAGTGGGCAGTGTGGCCACCAAGGAGAGAGTCATGAGTGCCCTGACCCAGGCTGAGTGCGTCCACTTTGCCACCCACATCTCCTGGAAGCTGTCGGCCTTGGTCCTAACGCCCAGCATGGACGGCAACCCTGCCAGCAGCAAGAGCTCCTTTGGCCACCCCTACATGATCCCCGAGTCCCTGCGGGTGCAGGACGATGCCAGTGATGGGGAGAGCATCTCGGACTGTCCGCCCTTGCAGGAGCTGCTACTCACAGCCGCCGACGTCCTGGACCTGCAGCTGCCCGTGAAGCTGGTGGTGCTTGGCTCCTCCCAGGAGTCCAACAGCAAAGTCACAGCTGATGGGGTCATTGCGCTGACAAGGGCTTTCCTGGCTGCCGGTGCTCAGTGTGTCCTTGTGTCTCTGTGGCCTGTGCCAGTGGCTGCTTCCAAGATGTTCATCCATGCCTTCTACTCATCCCTGCTGAATGGCCTGAAAGCCAGCGCTGCCCTGGGGGAGGCCATGAAGGTGGTGCAGAGCAGCAAGGCCTTCTCACACCCCTCCAACTGGGCAGGTGAGAGCTCAGCCAGCTGCGGGTGCCTGTCAAGGCCTGGGGCTCAGTCCCCATAGTCCTCCGATTTTATTCGGAAAGTGGGATTGGGGAGGGCAGGACAGGGCAGGTACAGCCGTGGAAGAGTGAGGGAGACAGCCTGTGTGCCGAGTCTTGCTTCTGCCAAATGAGTTTTTCCTACTATTAAGATCATCTTTGGACCAGGAAGCAACAGACCCATTTGCCATGAAAGTATGAATGTAAAACCCCCCTCCAGATGTCAGGGTACACTGGACGACCCATTCCATAGCACCTCATTTAAACCATGACTATAGAAAGGAGTGTGCGGTAAAGAGACTCGGGATGGATGTAGCTCCCCGTCCTGGCAGTGTGGCCTGAGATAGGTTATTTACCCTCTCTGCAGCTGTGTCCTCAGAGGTAACAAGGGGACGATGGTGGTGCTGATGACACCACCTAGTGCACATTTGGGAGGATCTGTAAGAAGTGTACTGAGCATCTTGTGAAGCTTCAGGCCCTGTGGGTTGCGGAATACATGCTCTTAGTGAGCCTGCCTACAGAGGGTGCCGGAGGGTCTAGGGTCTAGGGAGTGAAGAGAGAATGTTCCTGTGACTGCCGGTCACAGGGGCGTGGGAAGGGAGGCACCCCTCCTGAGTACAGAGCTGCCTCTCAGCTCCAGGCAACAACCTGCTTCCCCTGGGGTCCCTGTGGGAAGCTGCCCACAGCAGTCACTCAGAGGGCTCTGCTGTGCAGGAGACCCTGCCTGCCAGGCCAAGACTCATAGAGTGCAAACCACACTCTGGGCCTGTTCCCTTACACAGAAAGTAGAGGTGAGCCCCGTGGTTTCCATTAGTGCCCTTGCCATACAAGTCCTGTGCTACAAGCTCCTGGCAGTCAGAAGGGGCTTTGGGCCCCACAGAACCTACTACAGGGCTTGTGGGAACCCGGCCCCTTTCCTGTCTGGGCAGGTCTTCCCTGTGTGCTTATGGGCATCGAATTTTGAAAAAGGTCTTTTTTTAGTTTTGTTGATAGGTAATATAAGTCACAACTTTGTTCTGGATGAAACCATTTTTAGTGATGCTCTCCTGTTACCTTTAAAAATAGGTCATTCTCAGGCTGGGTGTGGTGGCTCACACCTGTAATCCCAGCACTTAGGGAGGTCAAGGTGGGCGGATAGCCTGAGGTCAGGAGTTTGAGACCAGCCTGACCAACATGGTAAAACTCCATCTCTACAAAAAATACAAAAATTAGCTGGGGGTGGTGGCGGGCGCCTGTAATCCCAGCTACTCGGGAGGCTGAGAATCGCTTGGACCAGGGAGGCGGAGGTTGCAGTGACAGCCCAGATCACACCACTGCACTCCCACCTGGGCAACAAGAGCGAAACTCTGTCTCAAAAACAAAAAAACAACAAATCAGCTCATTCTCTTAGAAAACCCTTTTCCTACACTATTTAGTGCAGGATGGTCCTGAAGTTGCCCGTGAGCTTGAGGAACCTGCTCCCCCAAGCTCTGTTGTGGAAGTGTGTGTGGAAAGGAACAGGCGGGATGCGGTGCTCCTTGGCTGGTCTTTCCCAGCTGGACTGAGTTTGCCGGTTTAGAACTGGAGTAGTCACTCCTGCCTCCCCAAGGAGGAGAGGAGTGCACCTCCCTGCCCTGGCATGTTCCCTCCTAAAGGCCCAGAGATAGATGAATTTCAGAGAAAATAAGGCACTTTCCCCACTGCACTTCCCACTCGACTCCTTTCTGCAAAACAGCAGGCCCCACTTACCTGAACAGCTAAACTATTGATTCTTAAAAGGAAGGGGACAGGCCGGGTGTGGTGGCTCACGCCTGTAATCCCAGCACTTTGGGAGGCTGAGGCGGGCTGATCATGAGGTCAAGAGATCGAGACCATCCTGGCCAACATAGTGAAACCCCATCTTGACTAAAATACAAAAATTATCTGGGTGTGGTGGTGCACGCCTGTAGTCCCAGCTACTCAGCAGGCTGAGGCAGGAAAACTACTTGAATATGCAGGAGGCGGAGATTGCAGTGAGTCAAGATCGTGCCACTGCACTCCAGCCTGGCAACAGAGTGAGACTGTCTCAAAAAATAAAAAGCAAGTGAACAAAAGGGTGCTGCATCACTGCCCAGGAGCCAGATGCTGTAGTCCAGCCTGTGAGCCGCTTCCCTGCCTGCCAGGCCCTGCTCTTTGTGCTCGGTTAACCATGAGGCATAAGTGAGCCCCTGAAGCCGGGGTGGGGCTGGGGGTCTCCAGCCACTCTGCTGAAGTGCCCTCCCGTGCTCTCCACAGGGTTCATGCTCATCGGGAGTGACGTTAAGCTGAACAGCCCCTCATCACTCATTGGCCAGGCCCTCACAGAGATCCTGCAGCACCCGGAGCGCGCGCGGGACGCCCTGCGAGTGCTGCTGCACCTGGTAAGAGGGTCGGGCTGCACAAGAAGGGGATGGCAAGGTTTCCTTACACTGGGATGTGAGCAGATGGAGAGGACATCGTTACTGGGGCAGTGTTCAGGATGTCCCTGTGTTGAGCCTGCTTGGGATACCCTTGTCCCAGCAAAGCATAAAGTGGGCAGCATCCCCAGGGTGCTTCTGTGGATGTCCCTGGGATGAGCCTACTGGCCTGAGTAGTGGGCACAGTGTGTGGTGCCATACAGGTGACTTAGCAGTACTCACCAGGACCCTGGGGGAAGGGCAGCCAATGACAGTGACCCACACCCTAAGCTGCTTCTAGGCCATGTGGCTTTGGGCAAGTCACTTTGTCTCTGAGCCTCAGTGTTCTCATCTGGAAGGGGGATAAAAGTTTAACATTTCAAGGTTTTTGTGAGGATTTAAGAAAATGTGAGCACTTGGTGCACAGTAGAGTCTGAAGTGGAGAGATACTATTTTACCATCAGATGACGCTAGTCTGCCCCTAATAAGTCCAAGTCTGCTCATGCCGTTGACCAGCCTGCCCCAACATCTATGGAGCCCAGGCAAGGGCACAAATGGAGGGCTCCCGTCTACATGTGTAAAAGTCATCAAGTGAGTCAAACTGATGTAAAACTTGTTTCATCCTCCTACCTCAGTAATATCCTGGACAGCCATTTCAAATCATTTAGAGTGCTGTGCCAGAAAGACCAGCCCTGGCCCACCCCATCTCTTCCTGGCCCAGTGCCAGCCTTGGGCCCACGCAGCGTGGGTGGATAGCTATGCCACAGCCAAGCTCCTTCCAAACCTGCCACAGACCCCTTGGCCTCCTTGCAGGCTGGTTACTGCACAGCCTGGCTCTGTCCATGATTAAGATGGAGGACCCGAGGCAGCATCCACGCAGGCCCAGGAGCGAGAATGTCTTCTTGGCTGTGTAGACTTCTTGCCCACGGATTGGGCCTGAACAGGAGGGCCCTTAGACCCTTGGCACCTGGGCCTGGTAGCTCTCCATGCACTCCTGAGGATAGAGTCACACACATTTCTTAAGTTTGGGGTCTCCTCAGGCCTGAAAGCCATCAATATGTGAACACTGTGCCCAGCAAGCCCCCAGCACTCAGACCAGGATCGAGGCAGCCCACACCCAGGGTGTTGGGAAGCCCTCTCCACTGTTCCCTGTGTCTGGAAACTGCATGGAGCCTTTCAGTTCTCAGGTCCCTGTCACCCCAAAGTCCCTGCGTCCTTGCCGCCACTGCACACTGCTTTTTTGGGGTAATGGAACTGCCCTCTCTTCCCATTAGGCTACCTCCTCCCAGGCCAGGCCTCTCAGTTGCCCCCACATGGCCTTGAGGCACCTCAGGCACATTGAAGGGTTTTCCCTTCCTTGGCACTATCTCAAGTTCTCTAGTCCCTACCTTCTAACTCCTCCTGGATACTCCTGACCCACTGTACAGTGTGTCTTGGAGGCCTCCCTGCTCGAGGGACAGCCAGGGTGGATCGTCTGTCCTCCCAGGCAGGCTTGTTTCCTCCTGTTCGGGACACTGAGCCCCGGCATTCCAGTGTTTACCCACTTAAAAAAAAAAGTCTCAAGTGACGTCTTGGACAACCCATGCCCCTCCAGTGAGAGCACATGTGCCTCACAGGGCATTCAACATCCTAGAGTGGACAGGGGTTTCCACTAGAGAGAGACATGCCCAGGGAGGCCTGACGAAAGCTGTTTGCACTGTTTTTTGGTGTGCTTCTTTTGGGGGGCAGAGTTGGGGTCTCACTATGTTGCTCAGGCTGGTCTTGAACTCCTGGGCTCAAGTGATCTGCCAGTCTTGGGTTCCCAAAGTGCTGGGATTGCAGGCATGAGCCTCCGCACCTCTCAGCTGCCCCTACTTAACCTTGAGGCCCTGCACTACTGTTGAAACACTCATGTAATTCATGCAGCAGTGACTTGGGTGACTTCAGCATAGAAGTGCCAGGTACCTGTTCAGGCCCTAGATGACAGGAGGGCACTTCCCAGTGGAGGGAGGTATAGGCTCCAGAGGCCAGTGTGGAGGGACCAAGGCTGAGTGGGAGGAACAGGGAAGAAGGGCATTGCCAGCCAAGACCCCATGATGCGGCTGGGCCGTGGCAGTGAGGAAGGGTTCTGAAGGGCCTGAGGGTTTATCCTAGTGGGCATGGTTTGAGGCAGGCCCCTGGTCTGTGTGTTGAGATACTGCTTTACTGTCTGTGGAGTGTGTGGAAGGGGTGGTTTAGGGGAGGGACAGAATCCTTCTGTTCTATCAGCCCTTGAGGGCTCTGATTGTAAAATCCTTCCCTTTTGTGCCCTCCCTTGCAAGATAACTGGCCAGTGCCCCAGTGTCATATCCTCAGGCCTGGCCATGTGGGCTAAGTGGGTTTGCAGCAGTCAGCCTTGCTTCACTCCTGGGGCTTTGTGTACCCTCAAAGCCATATGGGCAGAAACCAGGGCTGGCCCAGGTCTCTGACTCACCCCCAACTCCTCCCCAGGTGGAGAAGTCCCTGCAGCGCATCCAGAATGGGCAGCGCAACGCCATGTACACGTCCCAGCAGAGCGTGGAGAACAAAGTGGGTGGCATCCCTGGCTGGCAGGCCCTCCTCACTGCTGTGGGCTTCCGGCTGGACCCCCCGGCCAGCGGCCTGCCAGCAGCTGTCTTCTTCCCAACCTCTGACCCGGGCGACCGGCTCCAGCAGTGCAGCAGCACCATCCAGTCCCTGCTGGGTGAGCTGTGGGTGCAGGGCTGGGGCAGCAGGTGGAACAGTTGGTGACCCTGGGCCCTGCATTCATGAGGATGCTGGATCTCAGCTAGGAGCAGGAGGGTGTCCTGAGAAATGGCAGGGTGCCCCAGACACGAGCTTCTCCACACCTGGAGGAAACAAGGGCCATTTACATCCTGTTTCTATCTGTGATGGCAGGCATTTGTGCCCAGCTGGTGCTGCCTCTTCTCGGGATGACAGGAGGTTGTGCTGGCAGACACTGGCCACTTTTGCCATTGTCATCTGCAGCTGTGGTGATGAAGCTGTGTGGCCAACCCCCGGGTGAAGCTAGGTGCTTGATTTGGTATGGTGCTGCCTGGGTCCTGGGAGTGTGGCCATGCCTAGAACTGTGGCAGGGTCAGGACTCACCCCACTTCCACCCACCTTCTGGGAGACCACACTGTCCTTTTCCAAGTTATACAGAAACACATGTCCAGCTGTGCTGGGCCTCTGGAAAATGCCACCAATGCAGAAGATTTAGGGTTCTTTCCCCTGGGAAGGTGGCAGTCTGTGGGTGCAGAGGCGCTTCTAACTTCTTCCCTTTTTTCTTGGTTTAGGTCTGCCCAATCCTGCCCTCCAGGCCCTTTGCAAACTCATCACTGCCTCAGAGACAGGAGAGCAGCTCATCAGCCGGGTAAGTCAAGCCAGGAGGGCTGAGGCAGGGCCTGAGCCCCATGCTGATTTGGGAAGGCAAAGCAGCTTGGCTTAAATAGGAACCTGCAAGTTAATGTAGTCTGCCTTTGTGATTCGAAGGAGAAGGTGAGGGCTGGGAAAGAGGATAGCCCTCCCTGACAAGTGCTGTTTACCTGCTGTTTCCATCTATGATGGCAAGGCATCCATGCCAGCAGCACTGCCCCTTACTGGGATGACAGCAGGTTGTTCTGGCAGACACTGGCCGCTATTGGCATTGTCATGGGCATCTGTGGCCCTGATGAAGCTGTGCAGCCAACCCCATGGTAAAGCTGGGTGCCTGACTCAGAGGGACACAGAGGGGCAGGCTTGCGTAGTGTTCTCACTGGGTGCTGAGCCCAGAGCATCAAGAGCCTTCAGAGGATGCTTCTGGGGCCCCTGTCACCTGTGGTCTCAGGGCATTTCCTGAAATCTCCATTCAGTGGTCTCCTGAACCTTGTCCTCCTCACCCCCTTTTCGGCAGATTGACGTGTTACAGCCACTCTCCCCCAGCCCGCCAAGGCCACCAGCTGTGGGCCAGCCCGCCAAGACGGGTGCAGTGCTCCCATACTTTAATCAAAGGTCTTACCATGCCTGAAACAAGACAGTCACTGAGGCGAAGCAGGGAACTCTAGTGCAATACTGCTTAGCAGATGTGCTTCCTGTCAGGAAAACAGAGATCTAGTTCAGGAGTTCAGGGGTTCCAATTCTTAGCATCATGTAGGTCCTCTGCAGCTTGGCCTGGGAGCTTCTCAGTACCTATGCTGTGTCACTCCATTCTGGCCAGTGGGAGTCTGGGCCAAACTCCAAGGGGACAGCTGTGGGAGCACTTCTGGAGGTTGGAGCAGCCCTTGAAGAGCACAGAGCTGCTTTTCTGGCCATATTGGAGTGTCACAATTTGAAAAAGTAATACACATTGTTGTTAGAGATATTTGCCAGCAAATTTCACTTAAGCAGAAATATTTCTATAAAGAAATAAAGCCACTCCATCCAGTATTAGCCTCTGAAACTCTTCAGTGCTGCCTGGAGCTTCCTTTCACCTGGGGCTGTTTCCACCTGGGTTTGGAACTTTGAAGCAGCAGTGACCTGTCCCCTTGGCTGAGTCCCTGCTCATTTTGTAATAAGTGTGTTGTGCCTGCTTGTTGAACAGCATCAGGAAGACACTTCCAGAACGTTGCATATTAAAGCATCCTGAACCCAGGCGCTCTCTCTAGAGGTCTGTGTTCTACAGAATCTGAAAGCCAGAATTGTATTCCCTTTGCAGGGCTATGTGGAGAGACCAAAAGAGCCAGTTGCTTAATTTCTTGCTTTTGATGGGAGCACAGGGGCTTTCTGCCTGATATGCTGTCGGGCCCTAGGGATGTGCCGGTGGCAGCTGGTGGACCTTTCCTGGGTCACTTGGGAACCAGGGACTTTGGTTTCTTGAGCCGGCTACAAATGCCCGCTGCACTCTTTCCCTCCTGAGCCTGTACTGGCCGGGGAGGGAGGCCTGGCTGATGCTGCCCCTGAGCCTCTGGACCCGCACGCGGCTGGCCTGGGTGTGGCTGTCCGTTCTCCTGTGTGTCCCCTGCTGACTCTTGCTCCTCTCCCCTCCCGGGCAGAGCCGCAGGCCTGGTGTGGCGCTTCCTAAACAGTGATCAGCTCGTGTTGCATAACAGCCTGTGCTTGAGTCTAAACTCTCTTCTTTCTCTCTCTTTTTCTTTCTTTTTCTTATAATCTGCTGGCCGAAGGCTGTTAAAAATATGGTTGGAATGGTGAGTACTACTTTAAGTAGCAACTGTTGTCAGGTGAGCCCCTCCACCCGCCCACCCCTGAGTCTCCCTGGGCAGTCTCTGAGCTCGGGGTGCACGTGCTGTCTAACGGAGCCACGCGGGCTGTGGCGCTCCAGGCTGGCGCCCACTGCCACTGGCTCCAGTGGCCTGTCCCCTCCGCTGCTCTGGCTCCCCTCTTCCTGCTCCACCCTTCTTGTGTCCTTGATTTGACCCCTTAAGGTCCACCAGAACAGCAGGTGCAGAACCAGCTCTAAGTGAGTGACACTCTGTGAACCCACACACAGACCCCTGAGAAGTCACAGACCTCGAGATCTGAAAGGAAATGGACACTTGAGTGGGCCATGTGCATTAGTCCTTGAGTTCCGATGCTCTAAGATGTAACCAGGTTCCTCTTCACCATCCACCTCAAGGTTCTAAAGATGACTTAAGAGGGAGGTGGCTGGTCCCCTAACTCATCCCTTCGACTCTCCACGGCCTCTCCTCTGAGGCCACACTTGAGGGAAGACGCGAGGCTGGAGGTAGAACCAGGCCTGGGCCCCTGGCCACACAGCCTCTTGCCCCACTGCCCCATGAGCTTCCCACAGAGAGGAAGGTATGAAGGCACCTGAAAAGGAATTTCAAATGCTGCACACACGTGAGAGGGTCATTAGCGATGCCAGTGACAGGTGACATGAGAATAACGGGTCGAGTCCTGAGGCGGGGTGGCAGGGAAGGAGACCCAGGGTGCTCACGTTGTCCTCCCTTCCTCAGCTCCATCAGGTGCTGGTTCAGCTCCAGGCTGGCGAGAAGGAGCAGGACTTGGCATCAGCTCCCATTCAGGTCTCCATCAGCGTCCAGCTGTGGCGGCTCCCAGGATGCCACGAGTTCCTGGCAGCTCTAGGTAGGCCGAGCATCCTTGACTTAATGGGTTCTTTAATTCAGTTTTTAAAATCTCTGTTTTTCCTGCTGGTTTCTACCAGGCAAAGTATCTAAGTGTCTTCTGAAATATTATTTTAAAATAGTTAATGCAGGCTGGGTACAGTGGCTCACGCCTGTAATCCTAGTGTTTTGGGAGGCTGAGTGGGGAGAATCACTTGAAGCCAGGAATTTGAGTCCAGCCTGGGCAACACAGGGAGACCCCATCTCTACAACAATTAAAAAAAAAAAATAGCCAGGCATGGTGGTACATGCCTGTAGTCCCAGCTCCTCAGGAGGACCACTTGAGCCTGGGAGTTTGAAACTGCATTCAGCTCCACTGTCCAGCCTGGGTGACAGAATGAGACTCCTTTTTTTCCTTCCAAAATAAAAAGTTAACACAGATTCTAGTGGGTTAGCAGGATTCCCAAATGGGACAAATGGCTTTGTGCCATTTCCCTTGCACTGTGATTTCATCTCTCTCATTTGTGCCCATTACCTTAATATGAATCTGCTAGACTCTGGTATCATGGGAGGCCAAGTGTGATTAGGAGCTAAAGAAAACCAAAATTAGAGTCATAAGATGATAATAGTTTCAGTATTGTCCTCTGTCAGTGGGTGCTCAAAACTGGCAGGAAAACAGTACTATTAAAACCACCTCTGAGTGACCGTGGGCACCTAGGACTGCACACAGCAAGGGCTCAGTCAGTGCAGTACACTTGATTTCCCTCTCTTTTACCATTTGTAACATGCAGACTTGGCTCCTGACATACTGTTGTGTATCTCAATAGTGCATCTGTTGACAGACCACAAGAGGCTGTGAGCTGCTCCTCTCCTGCCCCACTTAGGGGCCCAGTGACTGGCTCGGGAACCAGTCACTCCACAGCTTTCTTTGAAACACCTGTTATGTGCCAGGCAATTTTCCAGGCACTGGAGATGCAGCAGCGAGCAAAAGACTAAATTTCTGCCATCCTAGAGTTTGCACTATAGTGGGAGAACACAATCAAATCAATATAGTGTCTAAGGGATGCCTTAGGAAGTGAGGGAGCACCTCAGCAGCCAGAAGCCAATGGGTGGGGGCAGGGGCCAGGGCAGGCCCACAGAGACTGGGGTAAAGTGCCAGGCTGAGCGAACAGCCATGAAGGGGGCCGGGGGTGGGGGGCAGAGGACAGGGCAGATCTGTGGGCTCAGAGGCCAGGTAAGGCCTTTGGATTTTAAACTGAGAGAAGTGGACAGCCTTGAGAAGATGACACTGTCTGACCTTACTGTTACATGGACGAACTGTCAGACATGGCTGGACAGAGAATCCTTAAAAATGCTTCTTTCTGCTCAGGGCCCCACTGCCTGACCTGTTTTGTGCACCTCAACTCAAGGCCAGCTCCATGTTTTCAGACACATCATTTATTGTGAAGGTAAAGCAGGGAGCTACAGGGCCTCACAGGCGTTCTGAATCCCTCTGGATTAGAAGCTTGGCATCCTTTACAGGTTGCATTACTTGATCTTTTATTTTTTTCCAACCTTTTTTGTAGAGATGAGGTTTCACCATGTTGCCCAGGCTGGTCTTGAACTCCAAGCAACCCTCTCATGCATCCTCCCAAAGTGCTGGGATTCAGGCGTGAGCCCCCACTCCTGGCCTACATGCTTTTCTTCTGTGGGTTTAAAGCATCATTTTCCTGATGTAAACATAGTAAATTTCTATGTAGTCAGTAGCAGATAGAGGCTAGACTGAAAAGGGCCAGCTTCCCGCCCGGGATGCTTTTCTTATCACTTCTGTGAGCCACTGTGACTGGCCAAGACCTTACTTTATAAAGGAAAAGCTCTCTTCGTCATGGGGCCTTGAGCCTCCCTTGGGTGTGGAGCCAGCCTTCCTCCTCTGCACACTCCCTGCTTTTGAGGTCCTTTGCCAGGCATATCAACAGTAGTACAGAAGGAAAACCAAAAAATCTTAACATGGGCTGTCTTTGGTGTTAGGGTTATGGGGGACTTTAGTTGATGTTCCAGTTATTCTCTGTATTTTCCAAGTGCTGTGGTTACTCAAGGGGTGAGTTGGTGTGCATGCGTCGGCAGCCTTTACAGCCTTTTGACATAAAGCTGGGAGAGGAGAACGGTGTCTGGCATGCCTGTCATGTGGAGAGAGGTGGCTGGCTCACTCCTAGGGCTCTGAGGCTCCGAGAGTTACCCCTTTCCAGTCCTCAGCAGTAAGCACACACCTTCACAACCCAGTGTGGACTGCCAGAGATTTCTATCATTTTGGTAAAAGTAGAGGTTTCTAATGGAAACTTCACATTGATACTATTCATTATTTGTTTTTAATGTGGAGTTCTCTGAGCCTGAGCAAGTCTTCCTGTTGCTTTCAGAGACCGTTTACTTTCAAATTCAGGGAGGAAAATGTCCCATAACAAATAGAATGTTCCTCTACTGAACCTAAATTCCTAAGGGAATGATAGTCTCCGAACCCCCAAGTACAAGTAAAAAGGCTGGTTGGCTGGATGAGAGAGGGGCAGGCACTGTTGCCAAGTCACGACACGCACAGCATGCTGACAACAGCATTGTGTACTATGGTGGGGTTACTTTAACGCTGTGAGGTCAGAGGAAAGGGTATGCTGTCGTAGTCACCCAGTACTTTGCAGTGTTTCAAGGGGAGCTCAGGGACGAGGGATGCTGGGTGAAGATTTTCCATGCTGAAGACTCTCCAGGCCCTAAATTCTTGCTTTGTGGTCCCCGTCTATATTAGTCTGTTCTCATAATGCCATAAAGATACCATACAAGACTGAGTAATTTATAAAGAAATAAGGTTCAATTGACTCACAGTTCTGCATTGCTGGGAGACCTCAGGAAACCTACAATCATGGTGCAAGGTGAAGGAGAAGCAGGCACCTTCTTCACAAGGTGGCAGGAGAGAGCACAGGGAAAATGCCAGACCCTTCTCAAACAACCAGATCTCATGAGAACACCCTCACTATCACAAGAAGGATCCAATCACTTCCCACCAGGTCCCTCCCTCATATCCAGTGATTACAATTTGAAATAAGATTTGGGTGGGGACACAGAGCCAAGCCATATCCCCATCTGCACTTGGCTTTTCCCCAGGGTGACATACTTGCTGGTGTCCCTGTGTCTCTTAATGTGTTAAAGTGCTGTGCCCACAGCTTGTTAGCTAGCCTCTTGCTCAAGAAGCTCCAGACCCTGTGTTGTACCTGCTCTGAGTCTCGTTAGAGTCTTCTACCTACAATCAGGGAGCAGCACCTCTGGGCTTTGGCAGAGGCAGAGAAGTCCCTGCAGATTCCCCACTATCAGAGAGTGCTCATTTCAAAGCCCATGGGGGCAGACACTGAACATGCATGAAGGTATTGTCTTTGCCCTTGAGAAACTTCACCTTACCATGTACCAGCTTTAAATATTGCTCTCAATGCTGAATGGAGCGGCCAGTTTTTGTCCTGGACGGACTTTACATAGACTGTACTTCTGTGAAAAAATGGAAAACTCATGTGAGTGAGCCTTACTCAGTTCTGGTCCATAGTGCTCAGTGAAGGGACAGAGGAGAGCTAGGCAGTGAGAGCCATACCCCTGCCAATTGGGGGCTGCGTGGAGTGGATGTTCTGGGTGGGGCAGCCCAACCCCCACTGTCTACCACAGGACTGACCTCCGTGCAGACAGGGGAAGCCCCAGGCCCGGATGCTTCCTGAAGGGCCTTGCAGGAATTCCGTCAAGTTGTACAAGGAGCCCTATAGTGCTCATGTTCAAGATCTGGAATCTTCCCGAAGGAAGTAGATGCTTATATGCTTTGTTCCTCTAGGTTTTGATCTCTGTGAAGTTGGTCAGGAGGAAGTAATCCTGAAAACCGGAAAGCAAGCCAATCGACGGACCGTGCACTTTGCGCTCCAGTCCCTGCTGTCTCTGTTTGGTAAGAGCCTGCCATGTTCTCCCTGGGGGCCGACACCAACACATACATTTTGGGAAGCGGAAGAAAAGTGAAACAGCATATTTGTGTGTGTGTTAGGGAACAGTTAGGGACTGTTCAGGAGTGGTAAACAAAACTCCCTGCTCTCATGGAACCTGGAGTGTACGTGGTGCTGGCAAGTGCTCGAGCAGGGCACAGGACTGCAAAGTGAGAGGGCGGTGGCGGAGCAGATGGGAACGCGCTGACAGGCGTGCCTGTCCTCTGGGGCCGCAAGGCCTGACGGGAGCAGACACCTGGGTCCTGTAGGCCTGGGAGGAGATTTTCAGGCCCTGAGGACACACCCAGCCCGACTGATGTTCTTAAGGGCTGAGCTGGCTACAGTGGGAAGAGCGAAATGCAGGCTTGGAAGGTGGTTATGGTTTACAGGCAGAACCGACAGGGGTGCTGAAGGTCATGACAGAACAGGTCAGAGTGGTATCCTGTTTTTTGGAAGAACTGCCAAAATGGTTGCCCTCTGCTGAGGTCATGGCAGTGGCAGGAGGAACGGGCCTGAGTTCCATCGGGGAGACCTTCGGTTTGGGGTATCCATTAGACACTCATGCAGGCAGCTGCTATGTGAGTCTGGAGTTCAGGGAGAGGTCAGCATGAAGACAGAAACGTGCATGGCATCACCCGGGGTGCATGCGGGGTGGAGGGGAGAGGATGGTGTTCTTCGGGCATTCCAGGCTTCAAAGTGATGAGAAGGGTGCTGTGGAGGAGGGGGCGGTGAGGGCAGGTGTGTTCCGCTGCAGAACTGAGCAGTGGACTCTGGATTTGGCAGTGTGGACCTCATTGGTGACCTTTGTAAGAGTGATAGGGACAAAAACCTGAGTGGAGTAGGTTGAGAGGGGAGGGGAGAGGTAGTGTGGAGAGCGAGTGTAGACGACGCCAGAGGGACTTGCGGGAGGGAGCTGGAAAGGAGGGCAGGAGATACCATAGACTGCTCACAGGCCCCAGGAGCACACGGAGGAGGGAGGAAGGAGCCGTGCTCAGAGCAAGGCGGATACAGGGTCCCGCTGCTCACCCTGACCCTGCATGCGACAGGGAGCAAAGTGGACATGGGCCGTGGTGGTGGTGGCGGTCCAGGGTGGGTGTGGCTGTGAGCTCTCCTAGAGTGATTTTTCTACCTATGTTAGATTTACTTTTTCTAACAGGACCATATTTTTGAGGATTATAAGATTAATGCAAGTAGTGTATATAAGTAGTTCTTGTATAATTCTTTGCTAGCTTCTATTCATATAAGGATGTTGTAGTTTTGAGAGAAAAATCAAAATGATACAGAATTCTAACGACCCTTTGGGCCCTTGTGTTTTCTGCGTAGATTCCACTGAGCTACCCAAGCGCCTCAGCCTCGACAGCTCCTCCTCCCTGGAGTCTCTGGCTTCTGCTCAGTCTGTTTCCAATGCCCTACCCTTGGGCTACCAACACCCCCCCTTCTCCCCCACTGGTGCAGACAGCATTGCCTCAGATGCCATCTCTGTGTACAGTCTGAGCTCCATTGCCTCCTCAATGAGCTTTGTCTCCAAACCCGAGGGTGGAGCAGAGGGTGGAGGCCCGGGAAGGCAGGACCATGACCGGTCCAAGAACGCTTACCTGCAGAGATCGACCCTGCCTCGGAGCCAGCTGCCTCTCCAGACCCGCCCTGCAGGCAACAAAGATGAGGAAGAATATGAAGGGTTTTCCATCATCAGTAACGAGCCCTTGGCAACCTACCAAGAAAACCAAAAGACAGGCTTCTCACCAGACCACAAACCACCCCGAGCTGGGGCAGCCGGAGGTGTGAGAGTCTCCGTGAGCTCCAAAGGGAGCATCAGCACTCCAAATTCTCCGGTGAAAATGACTCTGATTCCCAGCCCCAACTCACCCTTCCAAAAGGTGGGAAAACTAGCAAGTTCAGATACAGGAGAATCAGACCAGTCTAGCACAGAAACAGACAGTACCGTGAAATCCCAAGAAGAAAACAACCCAAAACTTGATCCACAAGAGTTAGCCCAGAAAATTCTAGAGGAGACACAGAGTCATCTCATTGCAGTGGAGCGTCTTCAGAGGAGCGGCGGCCAGGTGAGCAAGAGTAATAACCCTGAAGATGGCATTCAGGCGCCCAGCAGCGCTGCTGTCTTCAGAGCGTCAGAAACCAGTGCATTCAGCAGGCCTGTCCTCTCCCATCAGAAGAGTCAGCCATCACCTGTCACAGTTAAACCAAAGCCCCCAGCCAGGAGCTCCTCCCTACCCAAGGTGAGTTCCGGATATAGCAGCCCCACCACCTCGGAGACGTCCATCAAAGACAGCCCGAGCCAGCACAGTGGCCGGCCATCGCCGGGCTCCGACTCGCAGACGTCCCAGCTGGACCAGCCTCTCTTTAAACTGAAGTACCCCAGCTCTCCTTACAGTGCTCATATTTCCAAATCGCCAAGGAACATGTCCCCAAGCTCTGGCCACCAGTCTCCTGCCGGCAGTGCACCCTCCCCAGCTCTCTCCTACTCCTCAGCTGGATCCGCTCGCTCCAGTCCGGCAGACGCTCCCGACATAGACAAGCTAAAAATGGCAGCCATTGATGAAAAGGTGCAGGCTGTCCATAACCTGAAGATGTTCTGGCAGAGCACGCCCCAGCACTCCACGGGGCCAGTGAAGACCCTCCGGGGAGCCCCTGGCACCATGACTTCCAAAAGAGATGTCCTCAGTCTGTTGAATTTGTCACCACGGCACAACAAGGAGGAGGGAGTAGATAAGCTTGAACTGAAGGAGCTGTCCCTGCAGCAGCGTGACGGAGCTCCACCAAAAGTCCCTCCCAATGGACACTGGCGCACTGAGACCACCGCACTAGGCGAGCTGCCATTGCCTGCCGGCCCTCCTGCCACAGCCCCCACGCGCCCTTTGAGACTTCCTTCTGGAAATGGCTACAAGTTCCTGTCCCCAGGAAGATTCTTCCCTTCTTCCAAATGCTAAAGCATCTTTTATACTCACTGACTCTGAGCAGCCCGCAGATGGGGGCCTGGCGTTTGCTGCAGCCGTTCCCTGTCTGAGTGCAGCACCCCCACAGCCACCAGCACCTTCACGAAGCTGTGCTCTTCAGGTGAGGGGCACTACCACGTCCAAAGGCTGCCACATGCACTGGTGGCTTTTCTGGGCCTCTGGACCACATTTACCAAAAGCCAGGATTCGGTGGGGCTGGTCCAGGAGGCTGGTGGAATTTCCTACACACTTCACCAAATGTTTGTTTACCTTCAAACTCCCTGCTTCTCATCTGTGATATGATTCTTCACCAGGATTTCGTACAAAAATGGTCATGGTTCTTGGGTGGGAAGAGGAAAGGGAGCGCATATTTTGCTAAGAGGTATATATGCAGTACCTTTTATACACAGAAATACAAATAGAACTTTTTCTAAGGCTTTCAGGTGCTGGTTGGGGGTGGGAGGTATGAAATTTCTCTAAGTTGAATTCTACAGGAAAGTTATATTAGCCAAAAACAGAATAATGGTTTTTAAAATGCCAATGATTTGTAATTAAATTGTAGCAATTTTGGCCTCATGATAGTGTAATATCTCAGCAACAATGCAATAATTCACATTGAAACAGCGCTTCCATTCTGAACTCTGCTCCGTAAATGTCCGTTGGGTCCCGCTGTCAACCAAACGTGAATTTTCTTAAAAAAATTTATGTAACTCTTATCCAGGCATTTTAGAACTATGCAATTGTGATTTAAAATGCAACTTTGTGCTTTTAAAACATTATTGACCTTTTTTGTACATGGATAAACAACTTGGTTTTATTATCAATAGTACTTCACATTTATAGCTATTATTTTTAAAAGCTCAAAAAGTTTTTTAAAATGTCAAATTTTGAATAGTCATCAGTAAGTAATTATCAAGTTTGGAAGGAAAAGTTGAAATGACTCAGTTTCCTTATAAGAGAAAAAAAAAATCCACGGTTAACTAAGATATTAACCAGAATCCTGCCTTCCAGCTCCTGTTCCCTTTTATTAGCTGCTGAATTTTACTGTTTCCCCAACTCCAGGTCCCTCAGATGTCTTCTGTCTAAATCCATTGCCAGGTCCCCACAACCCCAGCACCCGCCTCTGTGAGCTGCCCCCAGCCCCTCGCCTTGGCCCTGGCCAGCCTCCTGCGTTCCTGCTGCCTGAAGGACTGGCCCCTCCCCCACAGCTGAAGCTGCTGGTCCAGATCCTACGTAGCAGGGCCTTTGCTGGGATGCATGCCAGGATTACAGCCAACTGAGGAGAGAGAGATGTACCTTAGAAAGTGAAGGTGGCCTTTTCCTACAGCTCTGACAGTAACTTAGATTGTTGCCAGCTTGAGGCAAGACAAGGGAATCATCTAGTTAGGGGTAACCATTAATTTATTTTAATAAAGGAGATGCTGAAAGTCCTATTAGTACTGACTTTAGTTGGAGAACTGAGATAAGGATCTTTGAGGTAATTCTAAAATTCAGATCCTACCCGCCTCACTGTGGGGTTCATCGTGAAGGTGGTCGGCCACCAGGCCTGGCAGGGATGCTAACCTCAGGATCCCCAGGTGGGGGTTTTACCCTTGGGTGGGATCTCAGCATCTGAGCATACACTGACAATTTCACCTGTTCCTCAGTGTACTTCTCTGAAAAGAAGAAAGGATGATATTTATCCAATCTGTGTTCTCCTGAGCTCCATCTGAGGGGTTTTTAATTTAACCAAAAGCCAACAAAAAGCATGTCACATTCTAGCCCTGATCCCAACACTGAAAGCAAAGTACTTTATAAAGAAGCCAGCGATTATGCGGGTTTCTTTACATTAGTAGGGGAAAGAATGGTAATAAAAGTACCAGTGTAGCAAGTGAAGACCAAATTTATAGCACTGTGCATTAGATAGCAAAATCAGGTTCCTAACAATGAAAAGTAAACCTCAAGTTTCTAAATCCATATGCAGATGGTTAGGCTGTCCCTCTCTCAGCAAATCTCTCACAGCCTCTTTCTTTCCCAAGTGCCAAGGATCCCTGGAGTAAAGCTCTGGGGTCTGTGCTCTCCTTCCGTGAGGGGAAGGGTACGACCCTATTTGCCCCCGTCTAGCAAACACCCCCACCACCCTACCACTGCCTGTGGTTATCGAGCCAGCTAGGAGGACTCATGGACCCCAACCTGGTTTTAGTCCCATGTACATTCTTATTTTAGGTTTCATATTGAAGAGCCAAATGGTTTACGTGATTTCATTCTGTCTTAGATGTAAGTTTCAAGGAGGGGAAAACAAACGTGATAAAATGATAGACCAGTCTAGAGATCACTAGAATCACCACCGCTTTGTCACTGTCAGTCTTGGTATTCCTATATGAGTAAAATGGATGTAAAAATCATAAACTCAAAAGTGAATGTTTCAGGCTATACTGAAAAAAGTATGCCCTTAGAATGAAGGGAAACTGTATAATTCACCAAGATTTCTTCATATAGATCAGCAACTATGACCCACAGGCTAACTCAGGTAAGTGGTCTGGTTTTTCACAGCCATTCACTAAGTTACCTTTTTAAAGGGTTATATAAGTACTTATTATATTGTTGATTTTGCGTTTGGCCCACACAGCATAAAACATTTAATACCTGGCTTTTTTTTTTTTTTCTGAGATAGAGTCTTGCTCTGTCACCCAGGCTGGAGTGCAATGGTGAGATCTTGGCTCATTGCAACCTCTGCCTCCTGGGTTCACAGGATTTTCTTGCTTCAGCTTCCCCAGTAGCTGGGATTACAGGAACCCACTATCATGCCTAGCTAATTTTTGTATTTTTAGTAGAGACGGGGTTTCACCATATTTGGCCAGGCTGGTCTCGAACTCCTGACCTCAAATGATAGGCCCGTCTCAGCCTACCAAAGGGCTGAGATTACAGGCATGAGCCATTGCACCCAGCCAATACCTGGCCTTTTAAGAAGTCTGCTGACTCTTGGTATAGATGACAGAAAATGGATTAGCATTTTGTTTCTCTGCTCTAGGAGGAGCAAGTCAGGTATTGGATAGACTGACTGGCATCCGGGGAGCCTGGGGTATGTGAGGGCCATGTGGATGGAAGCTAATGCCTCCTGCATGCCCTTGGCTGTTTGTCCCATTTGGGAGGAGTCCATGGATGTGGGTAATATTTATAAAACAATGTTTTGCTTGCCATTTGTAGAAAGCATTGCATATATTTCCTTTTAGCTCAGGAAACTGGCATGTCCCACCCTCTGCTACTCCATCAGATGTAAATACAATAAGCAGTACAACTCCCCTCTCTTAGAAAACTCAGCAGGACCACAGAGCAAGGGAGTCAAAGCTTTCTTAATTCTCTCCAGTAAATGACTCAACTAATCTGATGATTTCTTAATTAAGTCAAAATACCAAGAGAAAATTTGCTACTAAAACTCACATTTTGATCCACATTGATGTGCAGCACAAAATGAAAAATAGTTTTCACCTCCATCCCATTGTTTAAAAATTCATGGTCCACAGAGACTTGCTGGGTTTTAGCTGGAGATGAATGTGCCACCCATGCTGTCCTGATCCTGCTGTCTCCATCCCAGTGACTCTCCAGCATGCGATCGTTGCAGCAAGTCCCTGGCCCCTGTCGATCCCGCCACCTCCCAGCCACACACACTTGCACACCCACAAGAAGAACTGTAGCCTTGATGGTTTCAGTTCAGGTTGGAAGAATGCCATGCAATAATCTGGTTTGCTTTCAGCAAGCAGGCAACAAGTGGAAACTGTCTAATTGTCCTCACCCGTTCTGCTGTTCTATCTAAAATGAGTGTACCTGTGGTTTGTGAACTGGGTCCTTGTTTGTGCCAGATCCTTCAAAGTTGTTCCCTATCAGGACACCCGCGGCCCCTCCCCTCCTCAGACACCTTCCCCACTGGCATTCACGTTCCTTATATGCAGTGTTAGCCATCTTTGGCCTACATGGACTTTTTTTGTAAATTACACAGTTTTCAGATGACATTAAACTTTTTATATTATGAAATTTACCATGTAAAAAGAACTTCATATTTTTATTGAGATTGCTAAGGCACTTGGCCTTCCTCCTTTGTGATTTCAGTGTCTATTAAAGCATGAGTTCCCTTGGTTTTAACTGCTGTATCTGGATCACTTTCTATACACTTTCCACACACTCTGGGTTTCTTTGCAGTACACGGAGTGGCCATGTGTCATTACTGAGCACGCGTCTCTGTAGTTTATCCCCATCTCTACTCCACAGCCTCACATCCACCAGGCAGAGAGCACGACTGCACATGGCAGAGCTGTCCCGCATGTGTCTGGTCTGGGGGCACTGTCGGTGGGGGGGTGATTTAGACGCTACTCATGATTGGAGGGCCAGAAAGTTCTACAGTTGAATACGTATTTAGACAGACAAAAACAGAGTTCATCACCACCAGCTCCCTACGTCATCTAAAGAAACTTCACACACATCTTGCCTTTGTAAAAACAGTAATATCTCATTTGGATAATGGTAAAAAATACCAGCCAAATGTAAAACAAGGGAGTTAAAGTGCTAGAAGTTTGTGAAAAAAATTGGAGATTTTTAGAGTAATTTACATATGTGTAGTGACACACACAGAAATGGAAGTAGAGGGTTATACTTCCAAACTAGTTAGCAGACAAGAAACAGATTAACTCTGGAAAACCCTGGTTGATGTAAAGGAATAGAAAAAGGAAGGAACACCAAAACCATCTAAAAGGACAAGTAGATGAGGAAATAATTTAATTGTACATTTCCAAATAACTAAAAGTATAAATGGATTGTTTGTGACACAAAGAATAAATGCATGAGGGGATGATACCCCACTCTCATAATGACGTCATTATTAGGCATTGCATGCCTGTATCGAAACATCTCATATACCCATAAATACATACATCTACGTTCCTACAAAAATTAAAACATAAGACAAAAGAAAAATATCAGTAATCATTATAAATGTAAGTGAAATAAGCGGCAGACGTGGCAGATGATGGCAATAAGCCACATGCTCTTTAAAAACCTATATGCATCTGGGCGCAGTGGCTCAGCCTGTAATCCCAGCACTTTGGGAGGGACATGGCGGGTGGATCATGAGATCAGGAGTTCAAGACCAGCCTGGTCAATATGGTGAAACCCTGTCTCTACTAAAAATGTAAAAATTAACTGGGCGTGATGGCACGCACCTATAGTCCCAGCTACTCGGGAGGCTGAGGGAGGAGAATCGCCTCAACCTGGGAGGCGGAGGTTGCAGTGAGCCCAGATTGCGCCACTGAACTCCAGCCTGGGTGACAGAGCGAGACTCCGACTCAAAAAAAAAAAAAAAAAGAAGCTATATATATGCTTTTTGAAAAGAAACCACCAAAGCATAAGGGCCCCAAATGGCTGATGGTAAAATGATTGGCAAACTAGATATTAAAATAAGAGGCACTAGTAAAAACAAAGATCCGCTTCCTGATGATAAACTTAGCAGAAAACAAAACTCTAAATTTGTATGCAGCTAACTATATACCCTCAAAATTCATAAAGAAAATTGGCAGAACTACAAGTTTGAAAAAACATTATCATAATGGGAGGTTTTAAGCCACTACTCTCAGTAATTGATAGATCAAGCAGATGAAAAGTTAGAAAGCATATGGTAGGTTTATACAATTCTGCGAATAGGCTTCTAAAATGCCGTTAAGGAGAACCTGGTCTCTGATAGGGAAACCACGGTCTTCACTTGCACACGTGGGATATTTCATGAAAACAGACCTTGCAAAGTCCACATAGCCAGTCTTGGCAAATACAAAGAATTCCTACCACATAATCAGAGCACAGAACAATTAAGAGGCAGGCATCAATAACAAGAAGATAACTAAAAAGTAGCCAATCACTTAGACGTTTTAAAATGGACCACAAAGCGTATGAACCGTGGAATAACTCAGAAATGAGAAAATACAACACATCAAAACAGGTGGATACCTCCAGACCCACCTTGGGAGTTTCTGAGGTTTTCTTAAGGATAGTGGTGTTTCCTGTTTCCTCTATACAAGCCTAGAATTTGCACAGTGGATTACAAACATGATCACTTTCACCCAATGAAATAAAATCACAATTATCTTTATTTCTGCTTACATGCCATTTTCAGGAAATGTATACATTATATGTATAAAGAATAAAATGAACTTATAATTCCATAAAACTAGTGGAATACAACATGTTAAAGAAAAATGTATAGCCTTGAAGTTTTATTCCAGGGTGATATTTAAATGGCATAACTGCAAGAACCCCCAGGGAGGAAGGAGGACACTAGTGCCATGCAGCCAGCGCAGTGACACCAGAGTGCTGAGCTCACTACTTACTGAGCTAGGTGACCAATTCAAGAAGGTAGAAAAAGAATAAAACACCCAGAGAGAAAAGAAAAGAGGGAATAAGAAAGGTCAGAAATAAAAGAAGACAATACTGAAGGTTAAGGGCAAAGTTGGCTGGGCGCGGTGGCTCACGCCTGTAATCCCAGCACTCTGGGAGGCCGAGGCGGGTGGATCACGAGGTCAAGAGATCGAGACCATCCTGGTCAACATGGTGAAACCCCGTTTCTACTAAAAATTCAAAAAATTAGCTGGGCATGGTGGCGTGCGCCTGTAATCCCAGCACTTTGGGAGGCAGAGGCGGGCGGATCACAAGGTCAGGAGTTCAAGAGCAGCCTGGCCAACATGGTGAAACCCGTCTCTACTAAAAATACAAAAAATAGCTGGGCGTGGTGGCATGAGCCTGTAATCCCAGCTACTCAGGAGGCTGAGGCAGAAGAATTGTTTGAACTGGGACCCGGGAGGTGGAGGTTGCAGTGAGCTGAGATCATGCCACTGCACTCCAGGCTGGGCTACAGAGTGAGACTCTCTCAAAAAAAATAAAAAGTAAAGCAAAGAAAACACAGGCTGAAAAGTGGATCTATCTATGTGTTAGTCTTTGCTAATGTACACACAACTGGTATTCCTAAGGGACCAGAGCTCTGGCCCCAAAGGGATACCTATAAATACATTCATATGTGGAAAACCAGTAAGCATTAAATTACGAAGAACATTTAATGGGGTGGATGACTTCTATGGTTTACACTGTAATTATGAGGAGCAAAATCTATTATCTTCCCATTACAAGAAAATAAAATATGAATGTTAATGTGAAGGGAATTCCAAGTGGTTCTACCATTTGTTAGGAGACAGCATAAGAACTATACCCTGCTATTGCTGTTAAAGTTGACTTTTGCTTTAGTATAATACAGTAATCTACAGACTACATCTCAGTATGAAAGGCTAATGAGGCATAATGCAAGGATTTGTGAACAATAGTGTGGGCCCATATCTTGGGAAATCCAATTTATGCTCCCTGTTACTGAGGAATTTGCATATTCTGTTGGAGAGCATACATTTTGTGGGATGCTTCCTTTGAAGGAGAGAATGGCCCTTAATGAAGGTTTGATTCTGTGCTTTGGGATCTCAGTTAACAGCTAATACAAAAGATGGTTACAAGTGGGACTGCTCTTAGCTATTGCAGCTGTTTTAGGATTCGAATGCTTGATTTATAGTCACTTTGTTGTGTTGCTTTTAACCTCAGATGCTCTGGACAGGGGCCGCAGCTGGGTACCTTCCTCGATTTAAAGCCTTTCTTTAACCTTCCCAATGAGCATGCATGCGTACAGCCTCTAATACTCCTAAATAATGGCAAACAGCAGGGAACTGACAGGCTAATGCTGCATCCACTCCAGCAAATGAGGCCAAACATCTGGAGCCAAACACATTAAAGGGACACGTTGGCATTAAGGAAACGTTTTGCTTTTCAAATGAATTTCATCCAGTCTCAAGATATTTATTAAATTTGTAGCAATTATGGATTTGGGCTTCAGGGAATGATAATATTCTTAAGTACATAAATAGTGTCAACATATTTACTTAAAACAAAAAGTTTTTAAACTTTAAATCCCAGGAGCAGAACTCAAAGTCTATACTTTAAGTTAATTAAGACAGGTAGAGGGATTTGCCTGGCAGCATTTTGCCAGCAGTCTATTTTTTTTTCTTCCTACACAGATCTTGAGGTATAGTCATTTTCATTCTAAACCAAAAAATACAGAAGTAAAATATGTGGTAAAATGAAAAAGGCAGTTCTTATCTATCATTTCAAAAGTCATTCATTCCACAAATATTTGCTGAGAGTTTATAAGTAGAATGCAGCCAATAAAAAAATAAGCAGAAAGTTAAAACCGGTGTTAGAAAGTCCATAAAACAGGCCAAGCACAGTGGCTCACACCTTAATCCCAGCACTTTGGGAGGCCAAAATGGGCAAATTGCTTGAGCACAGGCGTTCAAAACCAGCCTGGGCAACATGGTGAAAGCCTGTGTGTACAAAAAAATACAAAAATTATCCAGGCATGGTAGCCTGCTCCTATAGTCTCAGCTACTCGGGAGGTGGGAGGATCACTAGAGCCTGGGAGATTAAGGCTGCTGTGAGCCATGATCATGCCACCACACTCCAGCCTGGGTGACAGAGTGAGACCCTGTTTCCAAAAAAAAAGAAAAAAGAAAAGTCCAGGCCGGGCACAGTGACTCACGCCTATAATCCCAGCACTTTGGGAGGCCAAGGCAGGCAGATCATGCGGTTAAGAGATCGAGATCATCCTGGCCAACATGGTGAAACCCCATCTCTACTGAAAATACAAAAATTAGCTGGGCGTGGTGGTGGGCACCTGTAGATCCAGCTACTCAGGAGGCTGAGGCAGGAGAATCATTTGAACCTGGGTGACAGAGGTTGCAGTGAGCTGAGATCATGCCACTGCCCTCCAGCCTGGCAACGGAACATGAAAGAAAAGTCCACAAAATACAACTTATGCACTTCACTTACATGCCATTGTCTTCATGACACAATCTAAGCAGCTTAATGGATGAAAACACAACCACTGTGCCCCTATCCACCTATTCACCGCGCCTCCCCAGAACTGCCTCGGCCCAGCTTAGGGAGCTGTGAACCCAGGCAGCTGTGTTTCCTGCTGAAGGACTCTACTCTCCCAGCTGCAGCTGACTAGGCATGAGCAGGAAACAGGCTGCACGGCCCAGCCAACCCTGTGACAGGTCAGAAAAGGG